CCATGGTGTGGCGCAGGAAGCATGCCCTTAATCAGATGTTTAGTTTGCATTTTCTCCCATTCTCTGGACTGTTTTCTTCATTATGCCCTTTGAAACATAAAAGCTTTTATTATTAAGAGGTTTAATTTGTTAACTTTCTTTTGTTTTTTTTATGTCATACCTTAAGAAATACTGCCTAATACAAAATCTTGAAGATTTACACCTATTTTTTCTTTTAAAAGACTTGTTATTTTTAAAAGCTTCCCCCTCCCCATACTTGTATGTGCGTGTGTATATGTGTGTGTAGGAGTATGTGTGTATATGTGTGTGTGTACATGTACATGTCACAGTGCATGTGGAGATGTCAGAAGACACCTTGTAGGAGTTAGTTTTTGCCTTCTACCATGTGGGTCTAGGAGATAAAAACTTTCATCAAGTTTGGTGTAGGTGCCTTTACCTATAGAGCTATCTTTCCACCCCATAAATTAACATTTTTAACGTGATATAAAGTAGGGAAATCTAGTGGCATTTTTCTGCAGTTGGACCCCCAGTTGACCCAATAGCTTAGTCACCTGGCCACAAATACAGGAGTTGACTTATGAATTTTATTTCACTTATGTTCTTGTGTCACTGCTTACATGACTGTAGGGTCTAGATGGTGGTTTTTTTTTTTTTTTCCTTCCTTGAGACAGTCTTAGCTGCATAGCTCCAACCTACTTCTAGTTAACCTTCCTCTCATTAAAAAGCTTTGTAGGGAATTTTGTAGTGGAAAATATGAGCCATATAACTGCATTTTTGTTTTCCAAGGTTGTTCTGGCTCTGCCTATCTCTGCGTTCCTGGCAATAGGGTTACCAGTGCATGCCCCCGTGCCTGCCTTCTGTGTATGCGGGGATGGACTGGGGTCTGCGCTTACCAGCAATCAGTGCCCTCTGGGAAGATACCACTCCTGTCCTGGATTTTGTTTTCAAGTAGAATAGGGATCAAGGGAGTATTTTGTGATTGTGACAATTTCGAATAGCACAGAAATGTGTAAAGAAGCAGCTAAGACTTATCTGTAATCCCAATAGTAAAAAAATAAAAATACTACTTAGTGATTTTTTTTTTTCAGACTTTATGGTTAGGTATGTTTTTGTTTGGTGTGTTTGTTTTGAGACAGGGTCTTGCTGTATGTTGCCCACACTGGGCTGACCTTGTCCTCGGGATTCCTTTAATATTCTGTGTCAAGTGCCATTGTAGACGTCTCACTTTCTTTAAAGACCAGTGTCTCATTAGAGGTACACTAGTGTTTTAAGGGCACTTTCAGAAACCCGGTGGGCCAGGGAGGTGGCTCAGTGAGTGTTGGGTGCTGGCGTCCTGAATTCCGTCATGAACCCATGTGGTGGAAAGAGCCACTGCTGTCCGCCATCCCCTGACTTCCACACACGTGCTGTGGTGTGTACATGCTCAGTTCATTCACAAGCACACAGAAGGTGAATGCTTAAAACCCTAACCATAGTTTTCTGCTCGGAGAAGTACTTGTCAAATGTATTACAATAAGCTTTCGTGCCATGAGGAGGAGAAGGAGCAAGCTAGTAAGCAGCACCCTCCATGGCCTCCATCAGCTCCTGCCTCCAGGGTCCTGCCCTTCCCAGTTTGCTTTGGTTGGTCATGGTGTTTCACCATAGCAGTGGGCACCCTAACTAGGACAATGTCCCTTCTCTTCTTAATTTCCTGTATGTGTTCTTGGCCTTTGTGATTCACTTTGCATGCAGTGATTCTTTGCCCATGACCTGCCCTTTGATCAAGTGTGCAGATGTGCAACATTTGAAGAACTTGAATATATGGCTTTTCAGTTTGGTACCATGCAGAGCACTTTAATAATAGAAAGTCTCATTATATCCAAGACCTGCCACTTCTAAAATGTAAAAAACTTTTTAGATGTTTTTTGTTCTTATAATTAAAATTACATAGTTTATAATTGCTTGAAACATAATAAGGTTATATACTTAATTATTCTATAATGTTTGATTGGCACATAATAAAGTGTTTCTGGGAAGATCAGTTTACACCATTTAAGCCTCCTACCACTGAAATCTAAATCTTAGAAGAGGAGTGGGTATTTTAAAGTCGCATAGGCACAGGCTGGTATGAGTAGTAAAAGTTTATTGATTAGGGTCCACTAATGGGAATTTGAGTGTAGGACTGATGTATTACTTTGTGCTAAATATGAATCATGTTAGCTTCTGAAGGGAAAAGAGATTGGAAGTCTAGGTCCACAGAGATTGGGGTCTCATCTAAAGTATACCTAGTACTAGTGCAAACCTACCACTAGGAGGTGTGTCTCCGGATCCCTGGCCTTGGCCTTTTCTTTCTCCTATATTCATTAATACAGAACACAGAATAATTATAAATCTTACCTAATCATTAGACCTCTTTGAATATTCTCTGCTTGTTACACACACGTCCAGTATTAACAGTCATGTGTGTCTTGATCATGAAGCACAGTGAGCGCACCAGCACGTATTTCAGCATCTCACCATAGTGATACTAAAGATTAATAAGTAATGCCTTTTTATAGAAGAGAATTTCTATACGAGTGTAAAATGATTTGATAGTAAATGAAAGAAATCTACTCATAGTTCTATTCTCTGTTGGCATTATCTTTAAAAGTACTATTGTGTATATATGTATTTGGGCATGTGTGTGGAGGTCAGAGGTCAACTTTGAAGTGAGCTCTTCTCCACTTTTACTGGGAATTGTCAGCAAGCACCTAAGTGTGGCATTGTAGTTCAGGTTCATAACAAAATCAAAACGTTGAACATTTCTTTTTCTTCTTTATGCCTTTACAACTTAAATATCTGGGTAATAAAGATGGTGATTTCATGGGTGCTAGTGACCCAACAAGTGACAGCCCTGAGTTTACTAATTTATTATGCTTAGTCCTGTAGAAAGTGTTTTATACTAATCCTCTTATTGATGGAAAATCGTGCTTCATTTTCATTTAATGAATCACATCTCAGCGAGACAGTTCTGTTTTTATATACAGTTTAATGGTGAAGCTCTAAGCACAGAAGGGCTTAGTGACTTGCCTGGGGTTACATCGCTAGTAATCTAGCACTGCTGTTGGAGTCCAGGTCACCCCGCTCCAGAGCCTTGAGCCTGGTCTTATATAAGACGCTGTTATAGGACACAAGGCAGCCCCACAGGAATTGTGCTGCCACCGCTGCTCCCGTGGGGGGAGGCTGACATTATTAGAGCTTGTGGAAGATGGGAAGTCCTGCACTTTAAGTTTCCTGGCTTCTTAATGACAACCCGATTCCTCTGTTTCAGAGTGTTTTTAAGTTTCTCTCAGCTTCCCTGTCCCATTCTTGAGTTTTATTACAATGTAATATTTACTTTAAAACATTGTTGCATTGTCTCGTACTTCAGGGTAGTCCTAGGAAAGATAAACTTTAGCATTTTAGCACCAAAAAGAGCCGTAAAAGTGCATTTCCCCTTTTTAGGCTTCCTGTCCGTTTCTCTAGGTCGTCTTTCTGTTTCCCAGTTATGGTCTTGTTACGCATACCTGGCAGGCCCGGCACTTGCCTCAAACTTGAGCAGCCGTGCCTCTGCCTCCCAGGTTATAGAACTGCGTGGCCATGCCTAGCCTAGATGGAGTTTCAGTGTTCGCTCAGTGCCAGAAAGCCATTGACATTACTCTGATCTCTTTATTGACTGACATAATTCATTGTGTCACTTTGACCACACAGATTGGACTTCAAGGTCTGATGAGTCCTCAGATGAATTGGTAGGAACAAGTTGCATACATAGGTAGAAGACTTAAAGACATAGTCAGGAAATAAGCAACATATGGAATGGAGATCAGCCCCGGACTGTGCACATGCTAGGCATATACTCTACTGCGCAGCTGCGCTCAGGGGAATTCAGGCCTTTGTAAGAATACTTAGTGTTTTATAGCTCACGTTCAGATTCTCCCCTACAAAAGGACCTCTGATAAACAGAAGCCATGCATATTTAGGAGTCCTGGGGATCAAAACCAAAGCGGCCCCTTACAGTGTGACTTTTAAAAATATTGCCTCCTTTATCTTAAAATTAGCTAGAATTAAAAAATTCTACTTGAGTATATACATATTTGTTTTACTATGTAAATTGGGTGGAGTGTTTTGTTTTGTTTTGCTCTACTCAGTTCACCATCTTGTGGCCTGTCAAAGAGCCCTTTGGTACACTTGAGTTCTCCTTGGGTTGAGTAGAAGCTGCTCTTGAGACTTCCAGCCTGTGGGTATTGCAGTAGCCAAAAGCTGACGTGCTAAGTTGGCTCTGTTTGACTCCATACCAGATGTTATGTAATACTGTAGTATGTAGATTGTTTTTATTTATTTATTTGTTTGGTTGGTTTTTCGAGACAGGGTTTCTCTGTGGCTTTGGAGCCTGTCCTGGAACTAGCTCTGTAGACCAGGCTGGTCTCGAACTCACAGCCTCCCGAGTGCTGGGATTAAAGGCGTGCGCCACCATAGCCCGGCGATTGTTTTGTTTTTGACCCCTACAATGTTTATGACATTTTCTTCTTTCGAAGGAAATGAGCTTTTCAGATGTCTGCATGCGGTTTCCGCTCTGCCTTTTACTGTAGGTAACTGATGTTAGTGCCAGGCTGGGATACCATTGTAGGAGTTTCGAAGAGATTTCCAAAAGTCCACCTGTAAAGCTCAGATTTTCAGCTGTTAAAGCTTCAATTTTTCAACATCTTCTTAAAATTTGATTGTCTATCTAACTTAATTTCAATAGCCTTTTTAGTGTCATTTTCCTTGTAATTTAAATATCATGGATAGTATGAAGAAGAAATGCCTCGAAATGATGTCAGGTGACCTCTGCCAGGCCAGAAGGATTTGGTCCTGTAGGTGGGCGGCTGGCATGAAAGAAGGTGTGGTAAAAAGTACGAATGTAGCATTATCCTGACAGGCTGTGTTCTCTATTGGAGCAAATGTGAATGTACTAGATCAAATGGTTAATAGTATTCTAATCTCAGACTTCTTTGACTTTGTAGTTGTTGACCTCCTCTACTGGAGAGACATTAAGAAGACTGGAGTGGTGTTTGGTGCCAGCTTATTCCTACTGCTGTCCCTGACGGTGTTCAGCATTGTGAGTGTAACGGCCTACATTGCCTTGGCCCTGCTCTCTGTGACTATCAGCTTTAGGATATATAAGGGTGTGATCCAAGCTATCCAGAAATCAGATGAAGGCCACCCATTCAGGTGAGATGTGTAAAAATGACAACAGTCTGAACAGGATTGGTAGACTTCAGTCTCCTGTCTGTCTATAGGATTCTAGGCGGCTCCTTTCTCTGCTGCTTAGAGACGATTATAGAAGAAGCTCTGCGAAGAGCATCTGCCTTTGAGATTTCTTATGGTAGAAAGATTGGGCTCCTCACGAATATTTGTTAGTAGATACTGGTTACCATAGTGGACTTCAGGACAGGTGAAGTTCTGTTGTCTTTACTGTTTACATTTTTGTGCTCCCTTGGTCCCCTAAACACTGTCTGATACTACACACCCTTTTCCATTACCCTCAACAGTGTATGTTCCTGCCTACACTTTGCTCAGTTTCTTAGGGCATTACACGCAGAAGGGAAACATGGTTTTTAGTAATTTCAAATTGTAGCTTCAAAATGACAGTCATATGCCACAAACCTTAACAAGTAAGATTTTAAAGTAGTTTTAATGAAATGTATGAAAGTGTTATAAAGACATAACTTCTAAATTATCTGCAGTATTAGTTTTATATATCATTTAAAGATTTTTTAAAAAGACTACAGTTTCTTTTTTCTTTGGTCTTTTTCTTCAACATACCTTTCTCATATAGGCATTTTGTAGTCTTAAACAAATTCAGCCGACATGGCGGTTACGCTTGTTGCAATTTTCTGGTTGCCCAGTTGCACTGGTGCAGGTGAAGTAAGTGGAGGGAGCCGTGGTGAGCAGTGTAGCACCCTCATTAAATGCCTGCAGTGGCACTGTGCAGGGCGCTCTATGCAGCAGAGCCAGCAGCAGTTTACAACAGAGTTCTAAAGTTTCCTCAGCCATGTCTAAGAATTATATAGACAGGGTTGAGAGGTGTCTTTGTGCGTAAGACTGCTTGTTGTGAGAACAGTTGGGCCCACGTTCTGACCCCTCCCGCCTGCATAAAAACTGGCCCCTGCTGTGGATATTTGTGACCCAAGTGTTGAGGGTCAGAAACAAACAGATCCTGAGAGCTTACTGGTCAGCCTAGGCAAATAGTGAGCTTCAGGTTTGAGGAAAACACCAGACACCTGACTGCCATATGTACCCACATACACATGTGCACATGTACACCACATACTTATATAAAATTATGTAAATAATTTACTGCTGGCTTAAAAATTGATGGAAAACGTTGAATGTTTTAACTTGATATTATTAACAGTAGTATACCAATGTCTTAAACTGTTGGACTAGGACTAATAAAGAATTATTCTTGATTCCAAATAGTCTCTGTTTAAGTAGGAAAAATGTGATGTCTATATTCAGAACTGGATATGGTTGATAATAGTAGAAGAGAACAGTGCTTTGAGGTTTAAAAGAGTGGTTGATTACACTGGGGTCGTAGAGACTCCTCTGATAAGGTTAGGTAGGTTCCAAGGCGAAGTTAGTTCATAGTACAAGCTGTCACCAGAGGTAATAAGAGAACTTTGCTTTAGGGAAATAACATGCTGACTTTAAAAAATGTTTAACATGACTCATTTCCAGCTTCAAGATAGGGAACAGTGGGAAGGTTATCAAGATCAGATGGCTCTCGGGAACCATAGAATATTATAGTGCTTGAACTGGAAGTGATTTTAAGAAACTCTTATCTAATTTATAGAGTTGAAAACCTGAGCCATTTCAGTGTGCAAATAACAGATCCTTAACAAGAGATGGCGTATTTGGGGCATATTGCAGTAGAGGCAGGGTTATCTCAGGACACATATGCGGGGAAATAGGGTTAGTTTGGGTGTTGTGCTTCAGACAGGAGTATAGTTTAGCTAAAATGTCATCTTTGAAATAATGACCACTCCCAGATTGTTATCTTTTTTTAAATTTAAGCCTTCTACCCACTATAGCACACTTGAGGACATGAAAACAGTAAATATTATGTCTTACTGGTGTTGCCACTGTACTTTTAGCAGCTGTGTTATGGTCTCGTATTTAACATTTCTGACAGTGAAATGCGTAGGATCTTTGATAGTAGAACCTGATGAGATAGCGTAATTTTCTGTGTTCAACTCATGTTTGCATCCTCATGATAACGTCCACTTTAAGTGAGGAAACAGGTTTAGGAGATTATGATTGCAGAGTTAGATGACTAAGAAAACGATTTAAACTCAGATCAGTCTGCCTTTAAAATAGGCTTCTATTTCAGTTGACAGTATATATACCATTAAAAAAAGTACCTATCTTGGGAAATTGGGTTTTGTTTATTTTGTTTGAGATGGGTTTCATTCTGTAGCGCAGGCTGGTCTTGAACTAGCAGCAGCCCTCCAATTTTAGCCTGAGGCACCACAATGAGCTTACTTGGATTTTTTACAGTAGCCCTTATAGTAGATTGTTGTAGAGTGTTAACGGCTGTAATGGCTGGTTGACATTGGGGATCAATGGCAGTTATGGTCTGCTTTGTTTTCTTAGGGCGTATTTGGAATCTGAAGTTGCTGTTTCAGAGGAATTGGTTCAGAAATACAGTAATTCTGCTCTTGGCCATGTGAACAGCACAATAAAAGAACTCAGACGCCTCTTCTTAGTCGATGATTTAGTCGATTCCCTGAAGGTAAGTTTATTTTACTTTTCACTTTGATGTTTGTAGAATTTAATATCCGAAAGCTAGTAATTCTACTTTACTCAGATCATGACGATGTAATGACATCACGGGAGTGTCCTATGTTTAGACTTGTGTGAGAACTATATTGGCTACTTTTCTTAAGGAAAAACACTTTTAGAAAGAGAAATGAAGAAGAAAATTTGAGTGTGGGTTTTATAAACCCAAAGCTCAAGCAGAGTGGGTTGGTGACTTTTAGATAGAAGTTCATTTAGGGCTCCATAAAAAATGGTGGATGCTTCATCCTGTCAGCACACAGAGTGAACCTGGGTGGGTCTCACAGTCTGCTTAGGCAGAAGGGAAATACATGATGTCTTCTGTGAAGGAAGTGGGCATGAAACCGCCACCATGCAGTTGCACGCTCTGCAGGGAAGGGTCTTGGGTGAATTGTGTGTTCTCTGAGAATTTGCTTTCTGCCTGTTACTGTCTGTGGGCAGCACAGATTCCATTTGTCTGTGTAAGGAAGAATGCTTCACTAGCCCAGGGTATTTCGTAAAATTTTTTCTTACTTAAAAAAGAACTTGATTTAAAAAATAAAACCTTAAGAAGACTCAAGTGGTTATGGACCAGGAGTGTTGACTCTAATCTCACTGTGCAGGAGGCAGAGGCAGGGAGTCTGTGTGGTCAAAGACTAGCCTGGTATACCTAGAGAGTTCTCGGCCACCCAGGGCCACATGGTCTAAGTCCCTGTATAAAACAAACAAGCAAGCAAATAAATAGATATTGTAGCACCCAGGCGTCTGAGGTAGGAGGATCCAGTTTTAGAGACAGTATTGCCTTTCTGAAGAGAGTTTCTGTGTGTTAGCTTTATGTGTGTGATTCTGTTTGCCCATCATAGTTTTTGTTCCCATGGAAAAGCAAATTATTTTCTCCAGGAATCCAACTTCAGTGGGGTTCAGGTCCCAAAGAGGAGGTGTGGAGTTGGGAAGGGAAGGTAGAGACTGACAGGATCTGAGGGGATCACTTTATTGAAAACAGGCTGTGCCTTTTATATTCTGTAATTGCAGAAGCAAGATTGAGAGCAGGCTCAGTGATTCAGGGGAGATCAGCCTGAGAGTTCAGCAAGTATCTAGATGCCTGTGTTTAGTAATTCCCCAGGCACCCGCTGACACTTCTTCCTGAGCAGTCTCAGCGTTTATGGTCAGGAGGTGGAGGTGTCAACCATAATGGAGCCTACATTGACCATGACAAGTTAATGCGGGGGAGGGGGGAGGCGGCTGGAAGTTCCTCCTCCCAGTTCCTCAAGCCTCTGAGGAAATGGGGCCTTGAACCAAACACCTGACCTTGTGGCAAAGGCCAGACTGGACACTACAATTTAAGAGCAGTTTTCGTTTCTTAAGGGGTTTGATGCAGCACTTGAACTGTATTTATGCAATGTCTGTGTGTGCGTGCATGCGCGTGTGTGTGTGTGTGTGTGTGTGTGTGTGTGTGTGTGTGTATGTAGCTGTTTCCTAATTGCATTCCTTTGTGTCTTAGTCTTATGGACCTGTTCCCCTCATGCATTCCCAAAAGGAGTCTTGATGGCTTATTCTCTTTCCATTATACTCTACCATTCTGATTCCTCTGTACTTATTAACTGAACTCTTACCCTTATGGCCTGAGGCCCATTGTTTCTCTGACTGTCAGGTGTGCCCAGTTAGTAAATCTGTAACTTTTCTGTTCTTGGTGCCATGGGTATTTCTGTGCGCAGAGTCACCGTATCACGCTTTATGGTTTCATGGTGGTGGAGAGTTTTCCCAAAGAAGTATGTATACAGTTGCCATTATGCACATTTTCATCCTTAATTAAACCTACACAAAATTCCCCAAAGGAAGAGGCATAAGAAACTCATAACACACAGTGAGAATCGTTAACAATGGAAGTAAAGGTGGTAGAAGTTGTGATTGTGATGTCAAAATGCTGCAACTTGGTCAAGCAGCAGTGGTCACTGTGGAGTATTTCCTTCTGGGAATGGACTCACGGGTGCTAGCTGTCAGTTTTTGAGTGGAATTAAGAGTCACTCTTGCAAACACATGACAACACCCCCTCTCCATTTTCCACTATCTTTAAATTCCTTTTCTTCCTTTCCTCTATAATGAGGGAAGAGTTTATTTCAGCTGTCATCAAAGAAGTAATCAGATTCCAGGGCTCTGAAGCCAGCACCTGAGATGAGCTGACAGAAGTGTGCCTGTTTACTCTTGGTAGTTGTCTTGGGCTAATGAAATAGTTCATGTTGTTACAGATTCCTGTCTGATTGTTCCATTCATTTTGCTACTCTGAAATAAACTTTTAAAGCTTTTTAATCCAAGCAATATTTCAATTATCCACAAAATGATCATTAATCCATTTTCTGGTTAAAGAGTATGGGCCGAGTCACCGTTGAAATACTTCTTAACCCATTCAGATACTAAATACTATAAACATTTTAGGTCTTACTCATTTTAAGTGTTGGGTCTTACACTGCTGCAGCATTGCTCGGGCGAGGCTGGCTCTGAGCTTCTGTTTCTGCTGCTGCTAGAGCCAGAGAGAGGGGTTAGAGGTGTGGTCATCTGGTGCTGTTACAGTGGTGTTTCTACCTAGTTAAGGGTTAGCTCACTTTTTGTGATTGATCTCTATAAGATCTTTGGGGGAGAGCTCTTGTTTTAAAAGGAGTTTTCCAACTTGGTTGCCTACTGGAGTCATGTGATGTGTTATATTTTATATAACTTTATCTGAGAAGGCGGAGGAACCCGAGTTTTAATTCCCTGAAGTTCTAATTTAATTTCTCTGGGAACACTGAATGGGTGATAGCTGATTTAGAAAGTTATGTCGTTAGCATAAAACCCTGTTTGTCCCTACCTCCAGTTTAAAAGAAAAGTATATCTCTCATACCTGCTGGTGTCATCTTGAGCACCCCTTGAAGGACTTTTGAAGCTTTAATAGAAAGTTCCTATCTTGTAAGCCAGGCATGTGTATCACAGCCTGCACACCTCCTGTCCACGTCCAGTCAGGGCAAGGGTCCATCCTGACGTATTTTCTGTCCACATACCTCCTGCCCACACATGGGATCAAGCACACAGTGCAGATGGGCCAAACAGACTTGTTTAGGGGAGTGGAAATAGGTAGTTGTTGTCTCCATAAACTCCAGCATTTCAGGAACTATTTGTCCTTGGGCAAGGATGTTAGATATTGGACCCCTGGTTGCTGGGTTTCTCCATCACTGATGCAATAAACTAAATCAAACTGAGTTGATAAATTCAGGTTTAATGAAGAGAGCAAAGCAACTCCTGGGAAGGCAGCGGAGGGATCACTTTGTGCCCAGTCTGTGGGGATCCCAGAAGACCACTAGGGAGACTGATACACCAAAATGCAAAAGCAAGGTTTATTTTGTGCACAATACAAACCAGCAGGGACCTCGTCAAAGCAACTGGTGTAGCAGTGGCAAGAGGAGGCACCCTGCCCTTCTAGAGGGCATTATTTTAAGGCAAAAACCATAAAAGTTACATTAGCAGGGTGTGGGGTGATGGACTTCTAAGGTTTAGGACCCCTGATTGACTGACATTTGTCTAGGGGTGGCCTGGTAAAAAGTGATGGGTGTGTGCTAGCAGGTGATCCTGTCTACAAAGATTGTACTGGCCGTCAGGAATTTCCTTTGGATGGTCTGTTCCTGGGTGGTCTCAGTTTGTGGTCTTTCTTGGAACCAGGATTGCCTCAGGGTAAACTACTGAGACTCAGGCCTCTATTAAGCTTGTCCTGGCTGGGTCGTGCCTTATGGATAAATATGACTACCTGGTCTTACATAGCTTGAGCCGAGAGCTCCAGGAAGGGACTGACTTTTGGCGGCCTTTCTCAGGGTGGGGTTTGGAATGGGAGGAGTGAGACCAGGACGTGGAATGGAGCCACTAGCTGGAGATCACCAACATCCCAACCTTTTTGGGTATATATGGATGGTGGTAGGGCTTCCTTTTAAACAAAGGGGCTGGCAGATCAGAGGCATTTTTGTTTCATGGGTCTCTTAGGCATAGTAATTAAAACTTAAATGTAATTGACTCTCACGTCACCTTACTTTATTGTTGTTTGCTATGTGTGCACTGAGTAACTGACTCAGAAGCTTCTGAGGTTCTCGGTAAAGATGAGGCCAGACTGCACTACCATCTCCTGCCCTTTGAAATACCAAATCCAAGAAATTGTTATTTAATAGGGACTAAGAGTAGGCATTTTCAGTGTGTTCTTCTATGTATTTGTAGGATGACTTTGGATGATAGTGAAAACATTGGTAGCTGCACTGCCTGGTATGTAACTATACTGTTGAGGACATCCAGGGCAGGGGTCCTGACTCCAAGAGTAACTGTTGTAAAAGAACATTAAGGCCCTTCTGCTGCTGTGCTAACACATCTCCACAGTTTCCTGGCATGTTTCTTTGGCTTTCAGGAAAAGTAGAAGGAAAATGTAGAAATAGTTAAGGTCATTCAAGAAAATGGGTTAAATTGATTTTAGAAAGGATAAATAGTTTACAGTGTTTTAAAAGATTTCTTAATAGTCACAATTCCCAAAGTATCTGAAATTCTGTTGCGTGCCCTTCCATTTTCCTTAAATATGTCTTCTTCCCAAAATGAAGCATCATAACTCTGCAGAGCTCTTAGTAAGGCCTGTTTAAACTTTATTCCCTGTTCTCCTGGAGGAAAGGCAGACAAGACATTGGCCTGCCTCTTCCATTGCCTGTTGAACGTTCATTGCGTGTGGCTTCTTGCAGCCTTGTTGCTGTCAGTAGAGAGCGCGACAGACGGTCGCTCTCCTCCAGTGTGCGCCACAGCTGAGGGCTGCTTTTCAGAGGTCTCCATCCAGGTGTAACCTTGATGTGGAACTTGGATGAAGAAAAAACTTTCAGGGTGAGACAATATGCAGTAGAATTTATTAAAATTGAGGCCACATGGCCAGAGAGGAGACTAATAGTTAAGTGTGCTCTTCTTGGGTATGGCTTCCAGCATCCATACTGAGTGGGTTACAACTGACTGGAACTGCATCTCCACAGGGTCCATCCCATGCCTCTTGGCCTCTGTGGGCACCTGCGTGCACGTGGCACACATACACTGCACACAGACAGATGTGACTTACACATGAGTGGGTTTCCACACACAGATAAATTTTTAAATCTTAAATAGAATAGAAATATGCTCAAGAAAAAAAAATAAAGCATGTCAGAGAGCATGTGCTGGCTTCTCAAGGGACAGTTACATCTCTAAAGGTTGCCAACAAAATACCCCCAGCCTCCTTGTGTACATGCACACAGCCTTCCAAGGCTCAAATATCCACTCTCAGCCTTGGAACTGCTGTGAAGAGATGTAGTCCCCAACAGTTAGAAGTCACAGAATTTCTTCTTTAAACCAGGTGGTGTGGTGACTTTGTGAAGGGCCTTTATTTCCCATGGTTTTCTTCCCATGTCTTCATGATTGCCTTCACTTTTTTTCCTTACTCAATGTTAATTCTTACGGCATCTGGATTTTTTTTAATCTTTTGCTTCCTTCCCTCTATTATTTATTTATTTATCTACCTTATTTTTTTTATTATGTGCAGTGATATTCTTCCTGAATGTGTGTCTGTGTGATTGTGTTGTATCCTATGTTATGAACTGTTGTGAGCTGCCATGTGGGTTCTGGGAATTGAATCCAGGTCATTTGAAATAGCAGTCAGAGGTCTTAACAGCTGAGCCATTTCTCCAGCCCGGCATCTGACTCTTGATCATGTATTTTCTGGAAACTCCGGTGTTTTTGCTTTTGGATATAACATTTAAAACTTCTGTGAAATTCGATTTCTTTGTTAGAATTAGGAGGAATACTTGAATGGCCGCAGTATGTGGGGAGAATTAGAAGGAGAGTGCTTGTGTTTGATCGCCGCAGTCACACTAGCCTTGGTGTGTTGTTTCCTGGCATCAAAGATATTTGCCGCGAAGTTTGTCTGAGAATAGCCTGCAGAGAGAGGCCTTGAGGTGTGGAGTCCTGAACTACTCTCCTTGTGTGGTGAGAGTCCAGTCTTAGGGAGTGACTGTAATTGGTCAGGTTAGGGATTATTAGCTTAAAATGCGCTGCTCTCCACGTTCTGCCATTAGGGGCATCTGTCCCTAAAGCAGTCCCTAAGATGTGGAATGTTCACTCTTTCCCCGCAGCCCTGTTTATGGTGATGAATGAGAACAGCTCTGTGGCTCTACTGTAAATTCTCTAGCGTACAAGTTACGTGTTTGAGGAAGCTATAAAACTGTGACCGGGAAAGATGTGCCGATAGAGCCATCCTCCAAACCCTGCTACCACAGGCTCTGCAGCAGCCGCTAGAAGTGGGAAGGGTTTCAAACTTGTTTGAGTTATGAGTGCCTGACATGTCTTATTTGGGTATTAGAGTGTTGCTCTTTGTAGAATTAATGGTGGTTGTGGGTATTCAAAAGATCTTTTAATGAGTAGTTAGTGTGCTTATTAGAGTTTGCCACCCACAGTAAGCATTCAGACGTATTTTGTTGAGTGAGTACATAGAAAAAAAGATAGTCTTTAGATGAAGAGTTGGGGGTTTGCAATGAAAGAGGCACAGTGTGGCTTTCAGTTTGCAATAATATGGAGGCTCAACAAAGTGCAGAGGTGTAAGCCTAGGCCGAGTAAGTGTAACCTGATGCTGGGATCTGCTCTGCGCGAGGCATGGTCCTGAGCACTGCAGCCTCGTGTGTAAGCTCAAGTGTGCTTGGGTTGCTGCTGCTGCTCCTCTGTCATCAGCTCTGCCAGCTCCGGGAGCTCGGAGGACTCTGAACACGTGACAAGCAGCTTCTTCCTCTGCCTATGACTCCTGCCCTCAGCTGCTGTCCTAAATCGCCTCAGTGTGGTCTCTGGGTTCCCAGCAGAATGGAGGGAAGCTGGCCCTCTCCTTAGGGTTCTGCTTCTGCTTTAACAAAGGGGAAACTACAAACTTCCTTTCACCCTCTCTCCCCCGGCCACTGTAGTGGTGAAGACTGTTCATTTTCTGGGGAAACCAGTTGACAGAAACGTTTTCACAGCCTGAGATCCAAGAGTGGTGGCGTCCATTTTTAAAAGTTGGAAAATAGCAAGCAAAAAACAGTACGCGATGGAGAGCCTCTGAGGCCCATAAACCCTAAAATGCTTACCGTGTGGTTCTGTGGAAAGTTGCCATGTCCAGCTTTAGTTAATGGGGAGCTCTACTCTGTCAATACTGTTGTTACATATACATAAACAATCACAATAGGAAATTGTTAAGAGCACTTGCAGAGTTCAATTTCCAGCATCCCTTGGCAGCTAACAACTGTCTATAATACAGTTACAGGGGATCTGATACCTACTCCATGGGCACCAGGTATACGTGTGAGCAAAACACTCATGCACATACATTTTTTTAAGTCATCATAGATGGTGCTATCACGGCAGTATGTTTGTTGTCTGCAAAAGTGGCACAACAGTTGTCGGACACAGCCAAAAGCTTTGCGTTAGAGAATATAGCAATGCAGGGGATTTCTTCTTTAGGACATAGTAGAGAGGGATTTATTACCTGCAGGAGGGAAGTGTGTGAATGTCTCGGGGCACGCTCAGTTTGTACTATTATTAAGTGTAAGCTAAAGACAGAGTTAAGGATATGTTCTTTCCTATATCCTATCTTATTATTAATGTATTTATACAGCAATGTGTCCTGAAGGTACCCACCTTTCTTTGTGGTTACCAAAAATGCTGATCATAAATGTTGAATACAATTTAGACTAGCTTTGTGCTTGCCTTGAAGAACTGCTTTGAGCATGTAAGTGATCTATGTGGTACATGTCAGTGAGCTGTTATGTCACAAGTTTTAGAAATGAAAGAAAATTTTACAATCTTATCATTCATGAGTAAAGTGTGTGTGTATGTGTCTGTGTAATAGTTCTCAAAATGAAATTATGTTTTAGAAACAGAGTCTTTACAGACTTCTTTTGCTGTTTTATTTTTTAAATATCAAATGAGCCAGATTATTAAAGTACAGTTTAGTTTATTATAATTTCTGGCCCCTGGAGGAAATAGTGAAACCTGTATTACTGTAGTTAGTTGAATACTAGGCAACTTAGAAACCTTCTTGTGCTTCAGTGCCTATGTGCTGAGGTGATGAATAAGACAGAGTCAAGAAGGATAAATGTGTTTCTTCTAAGTAAAGGCAGTTAGGGAATAGTAGTGATCAGTTACATTAATTAATGTATACATCGGTTACATTAGACAGTAGTATAAAAGTTTGATGTGGGAGTCCCCTCTGTGTGTTGTGATTACCATTAAATAAATTATAGTATTTATTTAATAATGGTAGAATAAAGAAACTGCTTTGGACCTATAGCAAGGCAGAACTTAGGTAGGCAGGGAAAGCTAGGCTGAATGCTGGGAGAAAGAAGGAAGAAGGAGAGAGAAGCCATGGAGCCACGGAGACAGATCTGGAAACTTTACCTGGTAAGCCACAGCCATGTGGCGATATACAGACTAATAGAAATGGGTTAAATTAATATAAGAGCTAGCCAATAAGAAGCTAGAGCTAATGGACCAAGCAGTGATTTAATTAATATAGTTTCTGTGTTATTATTTTGGGTCTAAGCTAGCCTGATGGCCAGGAACCATCAAGTGGCCTCTCCCTTCCAGCAAATTGGTGCTCCACATTGGGCATCAGATGAAGGCAGAAGTCATCACAAAATAATCCCACACTAGTTCAGAATTATCTAGGATAGATCACTGTTCTAGATAACAGTCCTCTGCACAAATGGGGAACAGGAACAGAGTCTAGCTGCTGGAAGCGAGAGAGGGAGCACATGCTTTACAGCTGCATTTATAATATGAGACCACGCCCAAGTGGGCTGGTATCTTAAAGGCTATTGGCTGAAGGGGTAGAAGGCGCTCCCACAGCACCGTATCTTAAATGCTATTGGCTGACGGAGCAGAACGTGCTCCCATAGCAGATGTGTTTCTTTCCCCTATCCCCCAGGTTAATTGTGGTCCTCAAACATCTTGGAACTTAGCGCCCTTGCTCCATTGATTATCACATGCCTGCTATTTTGGCATCTGTATTACTCAATCTGTGTATTTTCTCAAGTATCTTCAGTTTGTCAGTAGTTACTTTTCATGGTGCTTCCTTGTTCCTCCCATTGAAAAGCTAGGCAGCAGCTTAGAGCTGGAGGGAGGGCGGGGTGTCCCTTTCCCATGTTTTCTGGTCTTGAAGAAAACAGTTCTCTCTCATGTATTCCAACGAAAATGAATCAAATCCAAATATGGTCTAATTAGGATTCTGAATTAAGGCTGATAGCAGCCTAAGTGAATATTTGTATGACTTTACTCAGTTTTCAAGGTCAGATTGGCATTGAGATGGATAATTTGGGGGTGGGGGAAGTTGACCTGAATTTTCCTTATCATGGGCTCTTGTTTGCTTACAGTTTGCAGTGTTGATGTGGGTGTTTACTTATGTTGGTGCCTTGTTCAATGGTCTGACACTGCTGATTTTAGGTAAGTGTACAAAAAGATTGAAAAGCACTTAGAGAAATTTTGGTAGAGACTATCCTACTGTAAGAAAAAAGACTAAATTTGAGGTTGTGGGGTCTTTAAGTAGTAGCTGATATTGATACTGTTTTATTGAAATGTGGTGTTAGTCCCTGAAGACTATTCTAGTAACAGTGACAGACCCACCTTGCCTGATGATACACTCCTGTGTTGAAATGGGTACATGTATACTGTAGACTCTGTGTGATGTGATTGGAAATCAGGCATAGTTAGTTCCTCAGCTGCACTCCCGTCCTCTGCCCATGCAGGAGAGTGCGAGAATTCACGCAGGCCTTAGGAGCTCTGGGCCTAGTTACCTTGATTACTTTTGGCTTCATATTTTATGTTCACTCACAGAATGAAGCCATTAAAATTTGTGTATTTGCTTTTTCAGCTCTGATTTCGCTCTTCAGTATTCCTGTTATTTATGAGCGGCACCAGGTAATTTTTTTTAACTGTCAACTTCAAAATATAAAGTTCACTCTTATTGTATAAGACTTATTAAGAGAGCTAGTTTCCAAACTGGTTGGTATGTAGTAATGTTTGATATTCTTTGGCAGTGGTAACTTTGTAATGCTTTTATTCTTTTTCTTAGGCACAGATAGATCATTATCTTGGACTTGCAAATAAAAGTGTTAAAGAGGCCATGGCCAAGTAAGTACACTCTGCAACCGTTTTACCACGGGTAAGGGCAGCGCTCCGCACAGCTGAGGCTTCAGCGTTGGCAGAATGCGCCTCCTGAGTGCCAGCAGTTTTTTTTTTTTTTTAAAGACATTGTTGATCCTCACATTGTTTTGTATTTTGGTAGCTTTAGGATTCTCTAAATAATATAAAACATAGAATGTTTTTAAGAAGCAAGAAACAAAATTGACATTTTTCTTTATTTGTAGAATCCAAGCAAAAATCCCTGGATTGAAGCGCAAAGCAGAATGAAAGAGCCCCAAACAGTAGGAGTTCATCTTTACGGGGACACTCATTTGGTAGCGGGGGTGGGAGGGTCAGGGGTGAGCCCTTGGCGGCGGTGCAGCTTTCAGCTCTTTATTTTTAGCAGTGCACTGTTTGAGGAAAAATGGCCTGTCTTGACTTCCTGTGTTGATCATCTTAAGTATTGTAAGCTGCTATGTATGGACTTAAGTTGTAATCAGACTTGTTTTTCCTGTGTGAGCACTGGTGAATAAAGTGAGCTGAGAAAGCGATGTGTTTTACTGCAGGTAGTCTTGCTGTATTTGGGAAATTGCAAGAAGGTGAAGCTAAAAAAAAAACAAAAACTTTTCACAGTGTACTGTGTTTGGTTGATGTAAATTGATGCAGATTTTTCTGAATGCAATGTTTAGACGAGATCATACTACTAAAGCAGAAATGGAAATGCTGTTTTTATGGTATGTTCTAGGTGTATTGTGAACTTACTGTTATATTGCCAATATAAGTAAATATAGACATAATCTATATATAGTGTTTCACAAAGCTTAGATCTCTACCTTCCAGCTGCCCCACAGTCGTCGGTCATACGGTGTAGTCTCAAGCACGTAAACTAGGAAGAGAATGTACTTCTGGGAGCACTACCCCCTGTTTTCAGGGCTCCAGCATCAACGTCATTGCAGAGACTTACTGTATAGTTAATTCTGTCACAGACTCTGTTTCTATGGACTGAATTTAATGCTTCCAAATGTTTGCAGTTATCAAGCATTGTTATGCAAGAAATCATAAAATGAAGACTTAGCCATTGTGGTTTAAGCTGTACTGAATTATCTGTGGAATGCATTGTGAACTGTAAAAGCAAAGTATCAATAAAGCATATAGACTTAATGTATGTGTTTAGTGTCTGGTTTCATTGAATGGACAGTGACATGCTTTTAGTTCATGAAACAGCTAAAGAACAAAGCAATTTACATAGTGAAATTTATTTGAACCATAACGAAAGGTGTTAAATTCTTTTATACTTGCCTGAAAATAAACTCATGCACCAATATTTTAACAGAATACAGTGCAAGATTTATGAATATACATAAAATCACACCACATAAACTTTACGAATGAGATTTTCAGAAGTCTTTATAACACACTATTGCTCTTCAGATATACATGTACATATACCACTGATTAATCAGGTGTCCATCCACATGGTTATTTAAATGCAGGATCTGGTCAGAATGAAGGTCGGTAGTGCAAGATAGGCAGACATGGTCACCACTCAGCATCGCCAGTTACAGGAAATAGAACTAGGGCCACATAGGGACTCTACTGAGGGCCCGACAACCTACTAGTGGATTAATGTAAGGCATTAATAAATTGGCATGGAAAATAGCTTAATGAGTAGTCTAATCCTTTCAGAATGCTGAAGCACTTCTGGGGTAAATGTTAATAATCTATTCTTTAACTGAAATGCTCCATTTCTCCCTTTCTCTAAGTTGACAGCTGCAGACAGCTAGCGACTCCAGGTCCAGAATTGTAGTGCACAGACTGGAAGGACCGTGGCTGTGCACTCAGTGACCGCCTCTCACAGCAGCCTGCTTCCAGTGAGTGCCCTCGGCATAACTGAGGAAATTCAGGAAACTCAAATTGAGAATTTGTTCAAGAGAGATTTTAAAATCTAGATTTGGCTTGCATTGATTATCTGAAACAAATGGAGCCAAGCCAGCCCTACCCAAGGGAATAAACCAAACACAGCCTTTTAGCAAGACAGATCAGTGCACTCATTTGGACATACTGGAGACTCCCCCCCATACCAACCCCCCTTACATCTTCTAGAAGTTTTGTTTGAAGGATTTAGGTTAGGTTGTGGATTTGGCACTAACAAAACCCATGCTACTTCCCACAGAATTGAGTTGTCCTGCTCCCCTCCTTCTTACCACTTTCTCTGAGCAGGTGACTGAGGCCTCTAGAGACCCTAGACACACAGGACAAGTGGCAGAGTCTGCTAGTCCCATAGCCCTCCTCAGCCCGGAAGTTTTAGCACCATGTGTAGACAGGAGACACTGGGAGGGGAGGCAGCGGCCCACACACTGGGGACTTTCAAGGCACTTAATGGATAGAAAACTGCAAATGATACTTTAAAAAATTAAGTTTCTCAACTTTTTATACATGGCTCATTTGGTTTTGAAAGTTAAATGTGGCAAACAAGCTGTCTACTTCTAACTTACACGGTCGTGCCCAGGGAACACTCTTGAAATATATAGAAAAAGAATAGCAAAAACGCCTTTGTAAAAGTCGTAATGCAAATTAAAAGCTACATCTTGGTTAGGTAACTGAGGCTGTAAATTTTGTCAGTGGGCTACATCACCAGGATTTCGTTGTTTGTGTAGTTACTAGTGAGCGTAGGTTTAGTCTCCAGCACAGAAGCAAACAGTCTTAATATACTGTAGGACTTGACTTTCCTTCTTGGTATCACCATCTTGCGAAGTCCCGATTGTGAGACAGTCCTACAACCTCGTCGGCATTCGGAGCTTGTGCGTCCCACAGCAGCTGACATGGAGAAGGCGCCTCTGCACTGCCTGGAAGTAGCTGGCGAGAAGCAGCATAGCGCACGAGCTTCCGCGTTTACAGACAGCGCCATACAAATACACTGAAAAGCAGACCAGACGTTTTTGTGGGGCCAGATACTAAAATTTTGCCAGGTGCCAAACACAGTCTTGCCCACTGCTCAAGATCTCAAAATGTAAACCAGGGTATTGCCACCTATTATTGTAGTGGCCAGTAACTTGCCTCCCTCCTAGTTACCATTTTGTTTTGGGGACAGGGTTTCACTATGTAGTCTGAGGATTACAGGTGTGAGCCACCACGCCTGGCTTATGGCTCTGTTTTAGAGTTCTTTGACGTGTGTCTGCTCTCACCCCTTTTGCAGAATGAAGTCGCTGGGAACTTTGGGCAACTTGAGGTTTGGGCAACTTTAGAGGTTTTATCAGTGCCATTTAAACAAAGCCCTTTATATAAGATACACAAGCCTTACGTTTTTAGGTTACTAATAGTCTTGTTTATTCAGTTAGGTCTCCTGGTCCCAGCTTGTTCTCTTTGGCCTCATTGTTTTCAGTGGGTGTTAATATTCCAGAGGAGCTGGTCTCAGTACTGTGCCGACATTAGAAGTACCTGCGGTCGCTGTCACTGAGCTCGTGATGGCTCTGCGGGCCAGCACAGTGCACTGTGCTCTCTATAGGTGCCTGCCTCCTCTACAGCGTAGACCATTACACATGCCAACATTGATTTCTAATGTTTTAAAATAAGTTCAGTGCGTGTGCAAGCATGGGTGTGGGAGCGGGGACAATCAGTGGTGGACTCTCCATTTGGGTCGCTGGGCTTGAACTCGGGCCATCAGGCTGGGAGAAAACGCATTTATCTTGCCAGCAGTGCTTTTCTTTATCCTCGTCCCCATGTAAGAAAGTCTCTCAATATGTCAAAATTGAGTTAGGGTAGAATGACTTGGGCTTGTCCCTCTGTGTGCCCGGAAACCCTCTTCTACCTCAGAAAAGAGAGGTTACAGACCTGTGGCTCAGGTTGGAAGGGTTGTTTTGTTTTGTTTTGTTGTGGGTTTTTTTGTTTGTTTGTTTGTTTGTTTTTCGAGACAGGGTTTTTCTGTAGCTTTGGAGCCTGTCCTGGAACTAGCTCTTGTAGACCAGGTTGGCCTCGAACTCCCAGAGATCCGCCTGCCTCTGCCTCCTGAGTGCTGGGATTAAAGGTGTGTGTCACCACCGCCCGGCAAGGGTTTCTTTTAAAACAATGGCTTCCCAGCCATGCTTCATGCGGAATAACCTGCCCACTTCACCATGAGATCAAAAGTTGCCTTGACTGCACATCCAAACAGGTGTGCCTCTGACTAGCCCTAATCCCCTTCCATTCCTCCTGTCCATTGAGAGCAGCCCTTGCTCAGCTGTTCCTGCGCCACTAAGGCTCTGCATTATGAACATCTTTAAATGTCTCTGGCTGTAGTGCTGCTTCTAAAAGACATCAGCACAGACTAGCGGTTCTTAGGGACACGTGGTTATTCCAGGGATTGTTTCTACTGGAGTTAGCCCTTCTAGCTTTCTCACTGTTTTTGCTCCTCAAAGCTATATTCCGAATAGCTGTCACGTGATATGCGCTCAACCGTCCCAGGACAGCACTAGTGGGGACATGGGTCTGTCAAAGTGTGTAGAGAATCCCAGTGAGACCATAGCAAGTCCTTGCTTCTACGAACTTGTGGGATTTTCTTTTTGCTGTCCCATATCTGACCCTTGTGTCCTGGCAGAGCCGGACCTGCAGGACGCTGGACTAGAGGGACAATCAGTCGGGCTCCTACCTGCAGTCGTCTCCTCCTGTGCTGACCACATACTTGTCGTCGTATGAGAAACGGATGTTTGTCACGTGAGCTGAGTGACCAAAATAACGTTTATGCTTGGCCTGTGAGGGAAAAATGGAAGCAGCTGAGTGCCTTTTATTTCCAGTAACAAAGTCAAGTTACAGATCCACCCGCTGCCCTGCTCCCAGAAACCCCCGCAGTTCTGTCTGGACCAGGAGTTGAGGTGAAGAGAACCCGCTGTGGCCTGTCAGTCTCCCTTCCTCCTAGGGCCGCAGATGCTGCTCCTGAGACCCAGACTCGGGAAGGTCAGCTGTAACCACAGCACTTCCAGGCTACCCTGCCAGCCAGCCTTTCGCTGCTTTCCCTCGTGGTCGTTTTGTCCCCGCACCATCTGTCTAGTTTCGAGGGCTGTAGCTGCAGAGGGACATTAAAACGCCAGCCCGATCTCCACAGGGCTGGATCCATGCTAACTCGGATGGCCATCTATGTGTGGATCCCTCCAACTACAGAGCATGGCCTAGAGGTGGCTTAGGGGCTGCTAAAGAAAACTCACGAATTTCTCTGTGCATGGAAAATCAAAGAGCTTCACCAGCCCGAAATCATCTCCTGTGACAATGTTCAAGCCAGCATGGGTCACACACGCACAGTTGACATCAGCCTTGTCTGCATTTCGTGGCCAGATTCCAATGACTTCATCTCCTAGAACACTGGTCCAAGAGGGAAAGGCATTAGGAAGATGTGGAGTAATTTCCTAGGGCCATTGTCCCCTTCTGGTGTAAGACGTAGATAAGGATTCTACACAATTTGGTCATCTGGTGGCTGTCAGGAAACAGCCATTCCCTGCCCTGGCCATTTTCACCACCTTATACTGTTCCCTTCTCAAACCCCATCCCCTATACTCCAGAAAGAAAAGCTTATTTCCAGCTTTGGTTCCTTCCTTCCTTCCTTCCTTCCTTCCTTCCTTCCTTCCTTCCTTCCTTCCTTCCTTCCTTCCTTCCTTCCTTCCTTCTTTCCTTCCTTCCTTCTCTTTCTTTTTTCTTTCCCCTCCCTCCCTCCCTCCCTCCCTCCCTCCCTCGACTAGAGATTCTTTCTTTATTTCCTTCTTGCCTGCCTGCCTTCGTTCCTTCCTTCCTTCCTTCCTTCCTTCCTTCGTTNCCCTCCCTCCCTCCCTCCCTCCCTCCCTCCCTCCCTCCCTGCCTCCCTCCCCCTCCATCCTCCCTCCCTCCCTTCTTCCTTTGTTTTGCTTTATTTTTGAGACAGGGTTTCTCTGTGTAACAGCCCTAGCTCTCCTGGAACTAGCTCTTGTAGACCAAGCTAGCCTTGAACTCACAGAGATCCACCTGCCTCTGCCTCCCACATGCTGGGATTATAGGTGTGTGCCACCACTGCCTGGCTTGATTTTTTTCTTCTCTATGGTCTTACTGTATGTATATGTGGGGGGGGCAAGGGCGGGGCTCCTCACTCACTCACTGTTGTCCGTTGCCTTGACTAGAGCAGGCACTGTTTCTTCACCTGTTCAACAATAGTTCTATTCCCC